GGAGGATCACCTTGATCCTGGGAGGTCGAGGCTGCAGTGAGCTGTGATTGCGCCACTGCACTCCATCCTGGGTGACGGGGCAAGATGTTGTCTCAAAAAAAAAATTGGAAGTGGTTGTGACAGAGACTGTGGAGCCTGCAAAGCCCAAAATATTTGCTGTCTGGTCCTTACAGAAAACATTCTCCAAGGCTCTGAGTTACATTCTAAGATTTGTGAGGTGATGATGTGGGGATGTCATTCCCAGTGGCCTCTGGGAGTCATTTATTAGAAGAAATAGAATCCTTGGTGTCTATTAAAAGATCATATTTCATGAAGTTCAGTAACGACAGAAAGAAAAAACGGTGAGCACCAAACCGTAGACACACAAGACTGAGGAAGATTCATAGGGCAGAAGGTAGCTGCAGAGTTTTGTGGGGATGTTCCGGTGGACCAGGCAGCAGTCAGTCCTCTGGGCCCTCGAGTGTGCAGCTAGAGGCATTCTCTTGCTTGACACTGGTCAAGCTCTTTCTAGAATTCAGACTGAAGAAGCCAGAGAAAAATCTCCATGGTGGGTCAGGCATAAAGAATTTGGGCGGAAGGCCGGGCACCGTGGCTCAAGCCTGTAATCCCAGCACTTTGGGAGGCCGAGGCGGGTGGATCATGAGGTCGAGAGATCGAGACCATCCTGGTCAACATGGTGAAACCCCGTCTCTACTAAAAATACAAAAAATTAGCTGGGCATGGTGGCGCATGCCTGTAATCCCAGCTACTCAGGAGGCTGAGGCAGGAGAATTGCCTGAACCCAGGAGGCGGAGGTTGCGGTGAGCCGAGATCGCGCCATTGCACTCCAGCCTGGGTAACAAGAGCGAAACTCCGCCTCAAAAAACAAAACAAAACAAAACAAAAGAATTTGGGTGGAGACATGTCTTTCACCTAACAATGTCATGGAAGGACAGCTTGCTGGTGCCACCATGAGTGCAGGAAGAAATGTTTAGAGAGACCCAGAGTTGTGGTGAGGAGGGAAGGGCTTTGGAGGGGCATGGGGTGGTTAGCATCCTTCAGGGTTGCTTGGATCTTGGTGCCCCCAGTTCCCTTTCTGTCTGAGGGTTTTGTGGCCACGCATGGAAGGATGGATCCTCTTCCTGTTCCAGAATGGGTTCTGCTGGCTGGCTGGCCCGGCGCACCGGCTGATCACGGGTCTCTGCTTCTTTCAGGCATCATTCACGCTAGAGGACTGGTTCGGGAGTGCTTGGCAGAAACGGAACGGAATGCCAGATCCTAGCTTCCTTGTTGGTTTTGAAGGATGATTTCCATCTTTTTACAGGATGAGAAGTTACAGTTCATCTCCCCTGTTCAGATGAAACCCTTGTTTTCGAAATGGTTACAGTTGTTTTTTCCTCCCATGGTTCACTTGGCTCTGAACCTACAGTCTCAAAGATTGAGAAAAGATTTTGTAGTTAATTAGGATTTGCAATTTAAGTAGTTAGGAACTGCCCATGTTTTTTTTGGTTTGTTTTTTGTTTTTAAACATTCATTCAAAAGATGCTCCTAAAGTTATCTTACAGCAAACTAGTTTGCCTCCAAGACACCATTGTCTCCCTTTAATCTCTTTTGAATACATACGTTACTCACAGTGTTCTTTGTTTCTTTTCATAAGCTAATACCACTCTAGGGATTTTGTTTTTAATGCACAGTGACTTTACTTAGTAGCTGGTTCCCATTTGCCATACACTGTAGATTCTGCTGAATGTAACTTCTTTTTTGCTAAAGCATTTGCATGACTATTAGTGCTTCAAAGTCAGTTTTTTAAAATGCACAAGCTCTAAACACAGAAGAAAGAGCAACCCACCAAACCCGACAAGGACCCCTGAACATTTTCACTAAGACTGTAAGTAGATCTCAGTTCCTCGTTTGTTGTAAATTGATCAAAACATCTGGAAGAAAATGACTAAAACTGTTTGCATCTTTGTATGTATTTATTACTTGATGTAATAAGCTTATTTTCATTGACAATTTGTATTAAAATGTGAGTTCCTGAAATTCTTAAGTGCTGTTTTATTTTTCTGAGACAGGGTTTTGCTCTGCCACCCAGACTGGAGTGCAGTAATGTGATCTTGGCTTACCGCAGTCTCAACCTCCTGGGCTCAAGCAGTCCTCCCACCTCAGCCTCCCTAGTGGCTGGAACTACAGGTGTGTGCCACTACGCCTGAATAGTTTTTAAAAGACTTTCTGTATTGAATGAAGGGGTGTGTGGGAAAAAAACCCTTTTTGTAAAGATGAGGTCTCACTATATTGCCTAGGCTGGATCCTGGGCTTAAGTGATCCTTCCTCCTTGGCCTCTCAAAGTACAGGGATTATAGGTGTGAGCCACCATGCCTGGTCTTTTAAATAATATCTCATTAGAGGTAGGAGATATCTGTCCAAAGGGTATTTTTCCCTCCTGACCTGGAAACATTTTGGTGATGACATCACTAGTACAGTTAGCTGGGGAAGAATGTGTTTGCTAAGTCAGAGGTAGGGATAAAGTGAAGTTGAATTATGGGTATATTTTAAGTGCAGCAAACTTAAGTGTATGCTAGGAAAAAAAAAATACCAGAGGTGGTTTTTATTTATTTATTTGAGATGGAGTCTCCCTCTGTCACCCAGGCTGGAGTGCAGTGGCTTGATGTTGATTCACTACAACCTTTGCCTCCCAGGTTCAAGCAATTTACCTGTCTCAGCCTTCCGAGTAGGCTGGGATTACATGTGTGTGCCACCATACCTAGCTAATTTTTATTTTTTAAAATAAAGATGGGCTTTTACCATGTTGGTCAGGCTGGTCTCGAACTCCGGACCTCAGGTGACCCACCTGCCTTGGCCTCTCAAGTGCTGGGATTATAGGCATGAGTCACCACACCCGGCCTGAAGCAGTTTTATTGACTTGGCCTATTACCCCACGGTCAGGCCATTCTCAGTTCATAGGTGCTTATCCTGTGAGCTTTTGCTGGGTGCTACAGGAGTCTTTCATAAAATGTGGCCTCTAAATTCAAGCTACTTCATCTGGTGCTCACTGGAAGAATTACCTGCTCTGGTGCCAGGGAAAAAATTGACTGCACTGGAGAATCCACATGGTGGTCTCCGACAGTGCCTCCCAAAGGGATTTTAATTCTTATTTTATACCTTAGGTACGAAATGTGCAGTGAGAATTTGCTGAGCAGTAGACAAAGACAAATGAGAGAGACTTGTCTTTGGTGCAGGCATGAGGCGAAGTCTTAGCCATGACAAGGCTGAAGACCAGCAGGAACGGGCTCTAGGGAAATGGGTGCCTGCATCCCTTCCTGCATGTGGCAGAAAGGTGCAAGGGTATGAGAGGAGACAAACCGAAACCACTGTCCCTTGTCTCCAGCTCCAAATTTTCCTTCCCACTATTACTGGTTTCTTAGGTGTCTTTTAGAGATTTTACTTCTAAAAGGAGTTTAGGCTGGGGAAGGGTCCTGGGCACTCCAACAGGAGGTGCAGAATGAGTCCTGCACTGAACGTTTAAGCATCCAAAGCTGTCACTTTGAGGCAAGAGCCTTCATTGGCAGCCTCAAAGAGAAAGGTGTGCTTAGATGTATGCATTGGGCATGCAGCCTGGATCTGCTGGAGGGACTGCAGAACTGAGGCAGTTCCTGCGACTGGCAATCTCACAGTGGCCTTCTTGACTCCCAGGATTTTTCCATTTGTTTTCTACGTGGATTCCAGAAGAGTTCTAACAAGTCAAGCTATTAAGCATGGCTTAAAAAAAAAACAACACAAAAACTTTAAGGTCAAATCCAGCTTGAGTGATGCAAATTAAAAAGGAAATTGGATTCTGGAACCTCACCTTTACAAATCTACCTGCAAACCAATGTGCAGGGAATGTGTTTCTACATCAGAGGCACAACTGGGCAACATACAGCCTAGAAGCTAATGGAGCACACGGGCAAGGAACATAACCTTTAACTCTTCCAACCGTCTAGTTCTCTTTTACTGTCTTGAGGTGACGTTGGGATAACTGACGTTTAAGTGTCACTGGGCAGTGGCCTCCCAGCAGATGATAAGTTACCACCAAATGCTATTAATGTTTGACTCAATTCTCCAGCTCTCCATAAAAATTGACCTTATGAATTTCAAAAAAATTTTATTACAAAACAGATATAATCACACAGACAAAGGTATAACTTGAAATATGGGAACAGGCCGGGTGAAGTGGCTCACACCTGTAATCCCAGCACTTTGGGAGGCCAAGGTGGGCGGATCATGAGGTTAAGAGATGAAGACTAGGCCGGGCGCGGTGGCTCAAGCTTGTAATCCCAGCACTTTGGGAGGCCGAGGCGGGTGGATCACGAGGTCAAGAGATCGAAACCATCTTGGTCAACATGGGGAAACCCTGTCTCTACTAAAAATATAAAAAATTAGCTGGGCATGGTGGTGCATGCCTGTAATCCCAGCTACTCAGGAGGCTGAGGCAGGAGAATTGCCTGAACCCAGGAGGCGGAGGTTGCGGTGAGCCGAGATCGTGCCATTGCACTCCAGCCTGGGTAACAAGAGCGAAACTCCATCTCAAAAAAAAAAAAAAAAAAAAAAAAAAAAGATGAAGACTATCCTGGCCAATATGGTGAAACCCCACCCCTTAAAAAAAAAAAAAAACAAAAAAAAAAACACAGAAGAAATATGGGATCACACTTCTAGCTACCACCCAGGGGAAGAAACAGAACTTTGTCAGGCATCCCAGAGCCCCTCCAAGTGCCTATCCTAGTGTAGTACTGATTTTGTGTTTCTTTATAGTTTTATTTATTTTTATTTTTTTCACCGCTTCCTCCTCCCTCTATAGTTTTATTTTTTAGAGACATGGTCTTACTCTGTCACACGGGCTGGAGTGTAGTGGTGCTCACAGCAAACTGTAGTCTTGAGCTCTTGGGCTCAGGCGATTCTCCTGCCTCAGCCTCCCAAAATGCTGGAATTATAGGCATGTGTCAGTTACAGACATGTGTCAAAATGAATCAACCTAGTTTCCTTCCTTTTTTGAGATGGAGTCTCGGTGTTGCCCAGGTATTGCCCAGGCTTGAGTGCAGTGGCACGATCTCGGCTCACTGCAATCTCTGCCTCCCAGGTTCAAACAATTCTCCTGCCTCAGCCTCCTGAGTAGCTGATTATAGCTGCCCACCACCACACCTGGCTAATTTTTTGTACTTTTTAGTAGAGATGGGGTTTCATCATGTTGGCCAGGCTGATCTAGAACTCCTCACCTCAAGTGATCTGCCTGCCTCAGCCACCCAAAGTGCTGGGATTACAGGTGTGAGCCACTGCCCCTGGCCGAGTTTTATTCTTGAATCGTGCAGGTCTCTGTTCACTGTAGTTTAAGGTGTACCATTTAAATAACTTTGTTATCTTCCTTTTTACTTGATTCCCATAGTTCTTTCAGTAGCTTCTTTTTTTCCAGGGTTTCCTTTGCTTTTTTTTTTTTTACTTGCTTTTTCTTCGCTGCTTCTTGTTTTTCTTTGTGAACAGGACTGTTTTCACCATTGTAGAAAACATCCACTTTCTCTTGTAGGATTTTCCGAGCTAGCTTTCTGTTTTGATCAACTGATCTTGTCTGATGGCACTGTAAGAGAGTATTTTATAATGTGAAAACAACAAGATGTTACAAGATGGACAGGACCTCAGAAGTTACTAAATTCAACCTGTTAGCTTTTAATTTATTTATTTATGTATGTATTTATTTTTTGAGACAGAGTTTCATTCTTGTTGTCCAGGCTCGAGTGCAGCGGAGCCATCTCAGCTCACTGCAACCTCCGCCTCCTGGGTTCAACTAGTTCTCCTGCCTCAGCCTCCCAAGTAGCTGGAATTACAGGTGCACACCACCACGCCCAGCTAATTTTTGTATTTTTAGTAGAGATGGGGTTTCACCGTGTTGGCCAGGCTGGTCATGACATCCTGTAAGCTTTACAGAGAGGGACAAGCCTAGGAGGGAAAGCCCCTTATCAGGAGTTCCCATGAGTCAGTGACAGTGAAGACCAGCCCCATTCCTGCCTCTGCCCCATGGCCTCTGCTGTGTCCCACATTCTTGCTGTATTATGTGGCTTTCACTGTGATTGTTTTAATCATTAGGAGTACTATTTTGTTTAGAAGCAACAGTGGCCTTCAAAAATCTTAAAATCCCACAATAATTGTGAAAGTATCAACTGACATATCTAGTTTGTGGCCAGTGAACAACCACTTTGTGTGCACCGTTCCTAAGCATAAAGTTCTGTCTGAAGGAAGAAAATAGCATCTTTATTAGTCAACCATAACTCATTCACTGTGTAATGCCTTAGTTATTATAGGTGAGTAAGTGCCTTGCAAAGCTGTTTGATAAAAGATAAATCCTAAGCCAGGCGTAGTAGCTCATGCTTATAATCCCAATGCTTTGGGGGTGCCAAAACAGAAGGATCATTTGAGGGCTGGAGTTTGAGACCAGCGTGGGCAACCTAGCGAGAACCCCCATCTCTGCCAAAAATTTAAAAATTAATTGGGTGGCCGGACACAGTAGCTCATGCCTGTAATCCTAGCACTCTGGGAGGCTGAGATGGGTGGATCACTTGAGGTCAGGAGTTTGAAACCAGCCTGGCCAACATGGTGAAACCCCAACTCTAGTAAAATTACAAAAAAATGAGCCGGGCATCATGGCAGGCACTTGTAATCCCAGCTACTTGGGAGGCTGAGGCAGAAGAATTGCTTGAACGCAGGAGGCAGAGGTTGCAGTGAGCTGAGATTGCACTACTGCACTCCAGCCTGGGTGACAGAGCAAGACTCTGTCTTAAAAAAACAAAACAAAAACTGAGTGTGCTGGTGCATGCCTGCAGTCCCAGCTACTCAGGAGGCTGAGGTGGGAGGACTGCTTGAGCCCAGGTGTTTTGAGGCTACACTGAGCCCTGATTGCACCATTGCACTCCAGCCTGGGTGACGAAGCAAGACCCTGTCTTTTAAAAACAAAAACAAAAGTATGGCCAGATGTGGTAGCTCACGCCTGTAATCTCAGCACTTTGAGAGGTCAAGCCGGGTAGATCACAAGGTCAGGAGTTCAAGACCAGCCTGGCCAATATAATGAAACCCCCCAATCTACTAAAAATACAAAAATAAGCTGGAAGTAGTGGTGGGTGCCTGTAATCCCAGCTACTTGGGGGGCTGAGGCAGGAGAATTGCTTGAATCTGGGAGGCAGAGATTGCAGTGAGCCGAGATTGTGCCATTGCACTCCAGCCTGGGTGACAAGAGCCAAGACTCTGTCTCAAAAAAAAAAAAAAAAAAAAAAAAAATCTATGAAATTAGGGTGAAAGAATAATACTGAAAGCAAATTTGGAATGAGTTATGTAAAATACGTTAAACAAAAATTAACTGTCAGGTTTCATAATTTTGTTATGAATGACATTTTTTTTCTTTTTCCCTTTCCTTCACCCAACGAATGACGTTTTTCAAAGAGGAAAAGAAAAGCGATTGAGGTTTTACATGATATGCTTGTGGCTCAAATCCTGGCAGTGAGGCTGGGCATGGTGTCTCACTCCTGTAATCCCAGCACTTTAAGGGAGGCTAAGGTGGGCAGATCATCTGAGGTCGGGAGTTTGAGACCAGCGTGACCAACATGGAGAAACCGTTTCCACTAAAATACAAAAGAAAAAAAAAAAAAGCCGGGCATGGCGGTGCACACCTGTGATCCCAGCCGCTCTGGAGGCTGAGGCAGGAGAATGGCTTGAACTTGGGAGGCAGAGGTTGCAGTGAGCAGAGATCACACCATTGCACTCCAGCCTGGGCAATGGGCGAAACAAAACCACCCCGCAGTGAAGTGCAGCCGTTAGGAATGTGGACTTGGGGTATGGTGTGAACTGACTACTAAGTTGCAGGACCTTGGGCAGGTCATTTAATGTCTCTGTGCCCCAGATTCCACACCTGTACTGTGATGGAAATCATGAACATGGGGTTATGAGGATTGCAGAGTTAATGCTGCTTAGAACAGTTCCTCCCACATGTTTCCATGACCTGTAAGTATCTGCTGCCAGTATTCTTATACACGAAACACCTGCCTTGGCTATCTCTGTGCTGCTTCCAGGGCTCTCTGGTGATCATGAGGCAGATGAACTGGGAGACCCTCTGACCAGGCTTGGCTTTTTTTTTTTTTTTTTTTTTTTGAGACGGCGTTTCGCTCTTGTTACCCAGGCTGGAGTGCAATGGCGCGATCTCGGCTCACCGCAACCTCCGCCTCCTGGGTTCAGGCAATTCTCCTGCCTCAGCCTCCTGAGTAGCTGGGATTACAGGCACGCGCCACCATGCCCAGCTAGTTTTTTGTATTTTTAGTAGAGACGGGGTTTCACCATGTTGACCAGGATGGTCTCGATCTCTCGACCTCGTGATCCACCTGCCTCAGCCTCCCAAAGTGCTGGGATTACAGGCTTGAGCCACTGCGCCTGGCTTTTTTTTTTTTTTAAGGAGTATTGCTCTGTTGCCCAGGCTGGAGTGCTGTAGAGTGATCTCAGCTCACTGCAACCTCTGCCTCCTGGGTTCAAGCGATTCTCCTGTGTCAGCCTCCTGAGTAGCTGGGATTACAGGCACATACTACCATGCCCAGCTAATTTTTGTATTTTTAGTAGACGTGAGGTTTTACCATGTTGGCCAGGCTGGGAGGTATTACCGACATTTACCAAAGGGGACAGAGAGGCATGGAGGATGTGGCCACCCTAATGTTAACCAGCCAGGTCAGCTAAGGGCTGGGACTGCTAGCCAACAACCCAGGCTTGCTTGCTGCCTCCTCAGGGACTTGGAGCCCACAGTAATGCTAGAGATCTTGGCAGCCATCCTGCAGCGGGAGTAGCTTTGAAAGAACCACTGCCCAGGTGCCTGCCTTTATCAGCCACTGCTTAGCTTTGTCAACTTGCTGCTTCCGGGGCAGCAGCCAAGCACCAGTGCCGTCTGCCAGATTCAAGGATGGCCGCCATACCCTGGCTCCAAAAGATCCTGGAAGCAGGCTTCCCAGGTTGTCGTAGGCGGAAAGGCTCAGGGATGGGATGATATATGCAGTGCCCTCTACCGCCCAGCTGGTAGAGGGGGCTCATGCCAGAATGAGATACGCACTTCAGCTGGGACAAATCTTTGGGGCCTCGGAACCCTTAGGTGGAGCCTCTCCCCTCAGTGGGCTTTTGTCCTCTACCTTTACGACGATGCCTGAGGGGATGTGCTTTAGCACCACACAGTTGCTGGTTTTGTTGGTTGCTTGGCCCCCTGGACCGTGTCCTTTCACAAACTGCTCTTCGAGTTCATTCTCATCCAGGGAAAGCAGTGCAGGATAGTCCTTCTTGCCTGCCATCTGGACTGGAGTGACAGCTATTCCTGGGGATAACAACCTCAGTTTCTCCCAAAGCCGGAGTCCCCATGGCGCCGGGCACGTTCGGGTCAGTGGTGTAGGAAAATGAAATAAACCTGCGGTGCTCATAAGGAACGTGGCTCTGCTGGCTGAGGACCTGGGTTAGATGAGTAAGGAGAGCTTTCAGTAAGAGGCATCTGCCCTCAAGATTATGCTTCAGATTCCAAGACAGCTTTTTATAAAGCAATTCAAACAATGACCCATCTGTTATTGGGGGATTGAGGAAATGAGTGGAGACAGATTATTCAGCAAGACACCCTTCTCCTCAGCCTTGTACTGTCTGCCATGTTACTGCTCCATGCCCTGCCAGTTAATACATATTTTCTTGCAATAGACCAAAAATATCTTCCAAGCACCCAGAGGTGCTGTTTTCTAAGGAGAGGTTTGTTTTTGTTTTTATTTTTTTTTTGGTCAACATTGTTTATGATTGTGGTTTCTTTTTTTTTTTTTTAATTGCATTTTAGGTTTTGGAGTCCATGTGAAGAACATGCAAGACTGTTGCATAGGTACACACATGGCAGTGTGATTTGCTGCCTTCCTCCCCATCATGTATATCTGGAATTTCTCCCCATGCTATCTCTCCCCAACGCCACCATGCCCGACTAATTTTTTTGTATTTTTAGTAGAGATGGGGTTTTATCATGTTGGCCAGGCTGGTCTCTAACTCCTGACCTCAGGTGATCCTCCTGCCTCAGCCTCCCAAAGTGGTGGGATTACATGTGTGAGCTACCGCACCTGGCTGAGAGTCTATTTTATAGCTGAGCTTAAACAGTCTGACATAGTAAACATCACTATTAATCAATGTCATGATTGTTGTTTTTTTGTTTCCAGTTTCATGGATTTGAATGGGAACATCTGTTCCCCTGGATGCACTACCAGTAATATGGTCCAACTGGTACTCATCATTGGAATTACCAAGTCAACTAATTTTTTTTTTTTTTTGAGACAAGAGTCTCACTCTATCATGCAGGCTGGACTGCAGTGGCGTGATTACAGCTTACTGTAGCCTTGACTGCCCCAGGGTCAGGTGAGTCTCTTCAGCTGGGACTACAGGCACATACCACCACACCTGGTAATTATTTTTTTTTGTAGAGATGGGGTTTCACCATGTTTCCCAGGCTGGTCTTAAACCTCTAAGGTCAGGTAATCCACCTGCCTCAGCCTCCCAAAATGCTGGGATTACAGGCGTGAGCCAGGGCACCCAGCCTGTCAACTTTTTTTTTTTTATTTTGTGAGACGGAGTCTCGCTCTGTCACCCAGGCTGGAGTGCAGAGGCATAATCTCAGCTCACTGCAACCTTCGACTCCCAGGTTCAAGTAATTCTCTGCCTCAGCCTCACAAGTAGCTGGGACTATAAGCACCCACCACCACACCCAGCAATTTTTGTATTTTTGGTAGAGACAGGGCTTGACCATCTTGGCCAGGCTGGTCTTGAACTCCTGACCTCATGATCCACCGACCTCAGCCTCCCAAAGTGCTGGGATTACAGGCATAGACATGGCACCCAGTCTCAACTAACTTTTAATAAGGTCCTTGTTAGGCATAGTGAGGGACCTGAGATGAAAAAAAGCTAGACTGTCTTCATGGAACTTACAGGTTAGAGAAGATTTTAAAAGACAAGACAGGCCTAGCCTCTCAGCCTACATCTTTCTCCCATGCTGGATGTTCCCTGCCCTCGAACATCAGACTCTGCGTTCTTCAGTTTTGGGACTTGGACTGGCTCTCCTTGCTTCTCAGCTTGCAGACAGCATATTGTGGGACCTTGTGATCATAATTTACTTGCATGGAAGTTTCTGAGATCATGGTGGACAGGAGGCAGGATTAGACTGCAGCTTCTGACAGAGCAGCATGCAGAGGCTTGCATAGTGAATTTTAGCTCCAGATCGACTCCAAGAACAAACCAGCAATCCTGAGAGGATCCACAGACCCTCTGAAGGAAGTAGACTGCTCCTGCAGGACCCGGGAGACCCCCAAATAATGTGAGTGCCCCAACTGTGAAAATGGGAAAAGGAGACCCTCCTCTCCCAAACATACACCCTCCACTGGAGAAGGTGAATATCTGTGTGTGGGAGAAGTTTCTGACTTTACCAGAGCTGAGTTAGACCCAGCTGAGCAAAACACAGGGGTAGAGGAAGCAGCAGAAAGGCCCTGGGAGCTCACTGGGTCCCCAAGCAGCCCATTCCTGCATGTTACCACAGGGATCCACTGGGAGGGAGGGTAGTCAGAGAAGCAGGGGGTGAAACTCCACAGGGAGAAGGAATTCTCTAGTTGAACTTTCTAACAATTTGAACAAGGTGAGAGGCCTCCTGGCTGGAACTTGGGGAAGGGCACCAATAGGGCACGCAGACTTCACAGGTGGGGAAAAACTACAGCCCTTTTCTTACAGCTGGGAGGAGAATAGCCATGGGCAAGTTTTTAAGCCTGTCTCATCCTCTGCCTGGAAACAGACCGGTGGCTATTGGAGGGGGAGACATGCTGGGAGTGAGACTGGCCCTTCCATTTGCCTGGGAGCTAGGCCTGTGACTGCTAGCTCTCTCCCACTTCACTGATAACCTGCATGACTCAGCAGAGGCAGCCATAATTCTCCTAGGTACACAACTCCAGTGACCTGGGAATCTCAATCGCATCCCCGACTGCAGCTGCAGCAAGACCTGCCCAAGGAGAGTGAGCCCAGACACGCCTAGCCCTGTCCCCACCGATGGTCCTTCCCTATCCACCCTGGTAGGAAGACAAAGGGCTAATCTTGGGAGTTCTAGGGCCCCACCCACTGCTGGTTCCTCCCCCATACTACCACAGCTGATGCTTTCTGGAAAGCACCACCTCCTGGCAGGAGGCCAACCAGCACAAAAAGAGAGCAATAAAACACCAAAGCTAAGGACCCTCACAGAGTCCACTGCACCCTCTGCCACCTCCACCAGAACAGGCACTGGTATCCATGGTTGAGAGACCCTGTCGATGGTTCATATAACAGGATTCTGTGCAGATAACCTCCAGTACCAGCCAGGAACCAGGAGGACTTGCTGGGTGGCTAGACCCAGAAGAGAGACAACAATCACTGCAAGTTCGGCTCACTGGAAGCCACATCCATAGGAAAAGGGGCAGAGTACTATGTCAAGAGAACACCCTCTGGGACAAGAGAATCTAAATAGTCTTTAGCCCTAGACCTTCCCTCTGCCAGAGCTACTGAAATGAAAAGGATCCAGAAAACCAACCCTGCTAATATGACAAAACAAGGCTCTTCACCCCCCAAAAAACACACTAGTTCACCAGCAATGGATCTAAACCAAGAAGAAATCCCTGATTTACCTGAAAAAGAATTCAGGAAGCTAATCAGGGAGAGACCAGAGAAAGGTGAAGCCCAATGTAAGGAAATCAAAAAAATGATACAAGAAGTGAAGGGAGAAATATTCAGGGAAATAGATAGCTTAAAGGAAAAAGGCTGGGTGCAGTGGCTCACGATTGTAATCCCAGCACTCTGGGAGGCCGAGGCAGGTGGATCATGAGGTCAGGAGTTCCAAACCAGCCTGTTCAATATGGCGAAACCCTGTTTCTACTAAAAAAACCCAAAAATTAGCCAGGTGTGATGGTGTGCACCTGTAGTACCAGCGACTCCGGAGGCTGAGACAGGAGAATTGCTTGGATCCGGGAGGTGGAGGTTGCAGTGAGCCAAGATCACGCCACTGCACTCCAGCCTGGTGACAGAAGAAGATATACAAATTCTCAAACGAGATACACAAATGGTCAACAAACATATGAAAAAATGATCAGGGAAATGCAAATCAAAACCACAATGTGATACCACCTTACTCCTGCAAGAATCGCTGTAATCAAAAAACAGTAGATGTTGGCATGGAAGAGGTGAACAGGGAACATTCCTACCCTGCTGGTGGGAATGTAAACTAGTACAGCCACTGTGGAAAACAGTGTGGAGATTCCTTAAAGAACTAAAAGTAGAACTACCATTTGATCAAGCAATCCCATTACTGGGTATCTACCCAGAGAAAAAGAAGTCATTATTGGAAAAAAGATACTTGCACAAGCATGTTTATAGCAGCACAATTCACAATTGCAAAATTGTGGAACCAACTCAAATGCCCATCAATGAGTGGATTAAAAAACTGTGATATATATATATATATATATATATATACAGGCGTGAGCCATATATATATACACACATATATATATATATACACACATATATATATACACATACACACACACACACACACACACACACATATATATATATATATATATATATACACATACATACATATATACATGACGGAATACGATGCAGCCATAAAAAGGAATGAATTAACACCATCTGCAGTGGCCTGGATGAGATGGGAGACTATCATTCCAAGTGAATTAACTCAGGAATGGAAAACCAAACATTGTACGTCCTCACTGATAGGTGGGAGCTAAGCTATGAGGACAATGGCATAAGAATGATACAATGGGCCAGGTGCAGTGGCTTAGCCTATAATCCTAGCACTTTGGAAGGCCAAAGGGGTGGATCACCTGAGGTCAGGAGTTCAAGACCAGCCTGGCCAACATGGTGAAACCCTGTCTATTCTAAAAATATGAAAATTAGCTAGGAGTGGTGGCGAGTGCCTATAATCCCAGCTACTCGGGAGGCTGAGGCAGAATTGCTTGAACTTGGGGTGGTGATGGTGGAAGTGGAGTTTGCACTGAGCCAAGCACTTCACTCCAACCTGTGAAAAAGAGCCAAACTCCCTCTCAAAAAACAAACAACAAAAAGAATGATACGACAGACTTTAGGGACTCTGGAGGAAGAGTGGAAGGGGGTGAGGGATTAAAAGACTACAAATATGGTGCAGTGTATATTGGGTGATATGTACACCAACATCTCACAAATCATCACTAAAGAACTTATGCAACCAAATATCACTTGTACCGCAATAACTTAAGGAAAAAAGTATTTAACGATAAAAGATTGAAATAGCCACTGGTGACATAAGGTTGAAATGACTTAGTTAACAAAAGAATAGTAGCTGTAAGGATATGGCAAATCTGACAGGTTTTTTTTTTTTTTTTTTTTTCTGAGATGGAGTCCTGCTCTGTTGCCCA